TAGAATTTTCTATTATTTTATCCTCCCAGTTTTTGGGTTACTTTTTAATTTATTGGGGGTACATCCTATGTAATAAAGGCTAATATGCAAAATGTTCCCTTGGGAGTTTGACCACTGCTATGGCATGCACTGACTACCAGGGGGCGGCACAGAATGAAGGAAGGCCCAAACCAGCAACCAGAAGGCCGTGATTGGCCCTGATTGCTGGCCAGGCTTAGGGACCCTACCTGTGCACGAATTTCGTGCACTGGGCCTCTAGTTGGTTAATAAAGTTATATAGGTTTCAGGTACACCATTATATAATACATCATCTGTATATTATGCGTGCACAAAATTTGTGTATGGGTATGGTCCCTAGGCCTGGCAGGTGATCAGGGCCATCTTCTCCAGCTGCCCGCAGCCGGCCCCGCCCCCTGCCACCACCCACTCCCAGTTCCCCATTAGCCATTGGGTGATCGGTGCTTGACAGCCGGGGAAGGGACCGAGAGGTCGGCTGTTCCTGCCTGCTCACTGGCCCTACCCCCGCAGCAGGTGGCCATCAGGTGATCAGAACCTGCTGGCCAGGGAAAGGGACAAAGAGGTGGTCAGTACACCTCATAGTGACTGGTCCAGTGGTCGTTCTGGTCATTCTGGTTGTTCTCCTGTCAGGGTCAATTTGCATCTCACCCTTTATTATACAGGATCGTGTGTTCACCACCCCAAGCCAAGTCTCTTTCCATCACTATTATCCCCACTTCACTCCCTTCTACTTCTTCCGACCCGCTTTCCCTCTGGTAATCAGCATACTGCTGTTTGAATCTATGAGGTTTTTTGTGTTTTTTTTTTTGCCTTGTGTTTTTTTTTGTTTGTTTGTTTGTTTTTTGCTCAACCCTTTCATCTTTTTCATACAGCCTCTGATAGTTGTCAGTCTGTTCTCTATCTATGAGTCTCTTTCTATTTTGTTTTTTAGATTATTTTGTTCATTCAATTCCACATACGAGTGAAATATATGGTACTTGTATTTTCCTGACTGGCTTATTTCACTTATCATAATGCTCTCCAGGTCCATCCATACTGTTGGAAAGGGTAATATTTACTTTTTTTATGGCCCAGTAGTATTCCATTGTGTAAATGTACCACTGCTTTTTTTATCTGCTCATCTACTGATAGACATTTGGGCTACTTCCAACTCTTGACTATTGTAAATAATGCTGCAATGAACATAGGGGTGCATGTATTATTTCAAATTAGTGATTGAGGATCTTCAGATATATTCCCAGAAGTGGGATGGCTGATTCATAAGGCAGTTCCATTTTTAATTCTTGAAATAACTCCATACTGCTTTCTACTGTGGCTGCACCAATCTGCATTCCCACCAACAGTGCATGAGGGTTCCTTTTTCTCCACAACCTCACCAATACTTGTAGTTTGTTGATTTATTGATGATACCCATTCTGACAGGTGTGAGGTGTTATCTCATTGTTTTGTGTTTTTTGTTGTTGTTGTTAAATATATGTTTTTATTGTTTTCAGAGAGAAAGGGAGAGGGAGATAGAAACATCAATGAGAGAGAATCATTAATTGGCTACCTCCCACATGCTCCCCACTGGGGATCAAGCCCACAACCCGGGCATGTGCCCTGACTGGGATTTGACCTCATGGTTCACAGGTTGATGCTCAACCACTGAGCTGTGCCATTTGGACTCATTGTGGTTTGAATTTGCATTTCTCTGATAATTAGTGATATTGAGCATCTTCTCATATGTCTATTTGCCTTCTGTATGTCCTCTTTGGACATAAAGGTTTACTCAGATTCTTTATCCATTTTGTAATTGGGTTGTTTGTCTTCTTGGTGATGAGTTTTATAAGTTCCTTATAATTTTTGGATATTACCCCCTTATCAGATGTATCATTGGTGAATATATTCTCTCATTCAGAGGATTTTTTTTTCATTTTGCCGATAATTTCCTTTGCTGTGCAAAAACTCTTTAGTTTGATGTAGTTCCATTTGATCATCTTTTCTTTTGTTTTCCATGCCCAACGGGATATAGCAGAAAAAATTTTGCTACAGGAAATGTCCAAGATTTTACTGCCTATGTTTTCTTCTATAATTTTATGGTTTTGAGTCTAACATTTCAGTTATTAATTCATTTTTATTCTTGTGTATAGTGTAAGAAAATGGTCTAGTTTTATTTTTTGCACAAATCTGTCCAATATTCCCAACACCATTTATTGAATTACCCCATTGTATATTTTTGCCTTCTTTGTCAAATATTAATTGACCATAAAGGCATGGTTTTATTTCTGGGCTGTCTGTTCTGTTCCTTTTAATACTGTTGTTATTAACCTAGTTACTAATAACAGAAAAGGAGCAAAGGGAAGACCAAATATTATAAGCATGTCATTTGAGCAGCTTCACTAGGAAGCTAAAGCTTTATACTCCCCAGGGAGCCACTGGTCTATTCCCGCAGATTGCTGGGGGAAGATACTGGACAAGATGAAGAATAGATGCGTGCCCAGTAAAGTTGGGGTGATGTAGGGAAGATACTTTGCTCTCAGTCGCACCTGGGAACATGTCATTGGCTACAATGTGCACTGCCACTACAAGGGTGCAAAATTTGGGATATTTAATGCCCTAAACTAAGGAGTTCATGTTCTTGGTTCATTTTATGCTTTTAGGACTCGTTGCTCCTGTCACTTTCTCCTGTATTAGTCCAAACACAAAGGACTAATGGACTGCTGCTAGCCTGATGCTGAACTGGACCTGGTTCCAACATGGAAAGAAAACTCTGGACACTGTTTTTGCTTCCAGCTTTACTGAAACTCCAGCTACACTTCTTCTATAACTGGACTAAGGAAAATGGGACTTTGGAAACCCAGAAATGTAATTTTATGGAAATAAAGCTTTCTAACCATATCTCATCGTCCCGTGGGGGCATCCGGAAATGCTTTTTTCAATGGTATCCCTATAATCCTACTCCCATTCTCGATGGGTAGACTACTCATACTTTTCTCTGATAACACTTTGATCTGTATGTCTGTTTTATGCCAGTTCCATGCTGTTTTGATTACTATGGCCTTGTAGTATATTTTGATACACAGTAGCCTTCAACTTTGTTCTGTCTCAAGATTGCTGAAGTAAGAATACTGTTGTTGGAATCTATAATCAGTGTTGACTCAGGAAGGTCCAACTAAGCCCAGGAATTGTTGATTATAGACTCCTTATATTCTCAATACTTATGGAAAGGATTGGGCCTAGATTTTAGGGGTAGGACAAGGAGCAAATTAAGGTTTAATGGGGCCTAAAGTTTATATTATATTAAAGATTCTTTAAAAATATATATATATTTTTATTGATTTAAGAGAGGAAGGGAGAGGGAGAGAGAGATAGAAACATCAATGATTAGAGAAATCATTGATTGGCCGCCTCCTGCATGTCCCCCCCGCATTGAGGATCGAGCCCACAACCCAGGCATGTGCCCCTGATTGGAATTGAACCTGGGACCCTTCAGTCCTCAGGCTGATGCTCTATCCACTGAGCAAAAATAAACAAGGACTATTAAGGATTCTTTAAGAAAAAAAAAAAGAACCCTGGCAGGCATTGCTCAGTGGTTAGGGTGTCAGCCCTTGAACCAAAGGGTCATGGGTTGGATTCCCTGTCAAAGGCACATACCTGGGTTATAGGTTTTATCCCTGCCCCTGGACTGGTTGGGGCATGTGTGGGAGGCAACCAATCTCTGTGTTTTTCTCATCCATGTTTCTCTTTCTCCTCACTCCCCTTCCACTCTCACTAAAAATCAATAGAAAAAATATACTCACTCCTTGGGTGAGGATTAAAAAAAAAAAGACTGGAGTTACTAATATAAAACAAAAAAGTATTTCTGTGGAATAAGGGAATAAATCAACAATTTACTGTATTTTTTAAAAAATTCCCAGGACATTTTCTGGGAGAGAGAGAGAGAGAGAGAGAGAGATTGATGTGAAACAGACACATTGATTGGCTGCCTCCCACACGTGGGAACCTATAACCGAGGTACATGCCCTTGATGGGGAATCACACCCATGACCCTTTGGTCCCTAACCACTGAGAAAACTGGCCAGGGCTCAGTAATTGTTCTTGATTGCAACCTGGCTTTCTTCCCAACCTCAGATATAGTACAATTCCCAGCTACTCTCAACATTCACGAAGGCCCTTGCAAGTGAGGGGAAATGACAAATTTTCTTAGCATCAGGGTAACTCTGCTTCTGGGCAGAGATGATTCCAGATAAAGAAGTTAATACTCCTCAGAAGTAGAAGAATGAGGGATCATAAGGACAGAGAGCCATTAAAAATCATTAGGAATTGCTCTATGAAGCAATTGTAATAATAATAAAAAAGGCTGGTACTGGCATAGGTATATAGATCAATTGAACAGAATAGAGACCCCAGAAATCGACCCAAGCCATTATGTTATATATATATTTTTATTAATTCTCAGCTGAGGATATTTTTTTTCCATTGCTTTTCAGAGAGAGTGGAAGGGGAGGGGGAGAGAGAGATGAGAGAGAAACATCAATGTGAGAGACACATCCACTGGTTGCCTCCTACACACACCCCGACCTGGGGGCTAGGAGTGAACTGGCAACCCAGGTACTTGACCCAGAATTGAACCAGCCCCCCTTCGATGCACAGGCTGACTTTCTAACCAGTGAAACACACAGGCCAGGGCTATGCTCAATTAATATTTGACAAAAATCACTAGAAATTACTGTTGAACAAAACATTTTTAATACTATATTGTGGTTAATCATAATTACTGTCATACTGGGGTCCCCTATGCTGACAAATATATCATAACTTGGAATTCCAGTAAAATATGTTTGGAAACTAAATGCAGAAACCACAAATTTCTGCTGCCGACCTTTTAGGGTGACTCATGGCCTAGACAGCGCTGGCCAAATTAGTGCAACTAGTCATAAAACATCTGTTAGGATCATCTTTGGAATACTGTGTGCACTCTGGCTCTCCTTACAATCCTGGCCTGCTCTTCTGACTTTGAATGTGACTGAATTTAGTTTTACAACTGACATAATTTTTTGCTTTGTATAAGGATTTCACAATTCAGATCTTCCTAGGGAGTGTGGATGACAAAGGGCTTCTTGTGCTCATTTTAGCAGTAGACATATTAAAGTTGGAATGAAACAGAGAAGATTAACATGGCCCCTGCACAAGGATGATATGAAAATTTGTGAAGTGGTCCATAGTTTTAAAAAAGAAAAAAAAAGGGGTGGTATGGAAAATAACCTCACAATGTGATCTGATCATAAATTCCTAACTGGGCAGATCACTATGGGTAGTCACTCCCCAGATATATAACTTCTTTCTTTCTTTTTCTTTTTTCTTTTCTTCTTTTCAGGCATATGAAGTCCCCTATTCAATCTTGGCCTCCACAAAGACAGACAGACAACATCAGATTGTTCAAAGTCTGTCAGTGGATGCAAATAACTTTAGTAAAAGGTTTATCTTTGCATTAAGCAAGCCCTGTCCATTGTTTCTGTGCATCTGTGTTAGCAAACCTTTGAAATAAGCCATAAACACCCTCAAGAGAGCACATAATCTTAACCAGTCTATAATCCATTCCCCACATAGCTTTTTGCCTTCCTTACATCTTCCTTTCATCCCCTCCTTAATACTAAATGCACAAAAGAAGCCGAAAATATCATTCTAGGGAGAATTTGACATCTAGTTCCCCAGCATATGTTGTCAGTTTGGCTCAAATAATCTCATAAAAATTCTTTACAGGTTCGGAAGTTACTTATGTCGACAGGAGGATTCTGTACAGTCATGCGCAGATGACTAAAACATACAATGGAGGTTAATAAAATGGTACTTTGTCTGGAAGTGCTGCATGGGAACCAGAGTTTGTAAATAAAGAATTCTTATGTTTTCCTGAAAACAATAGAAATCAGAGGAGTAAAAACTTCAGAAGTGCCTGGTTTGGCTCAGTGGATAGAGCGTCTGCCAGAGGGACTGAAGGGTCTGAGGTTTGATGCTGGTCAAGGTCACTTACCTGGGTCGATCTCTGGCCCTAGTCCCTGGTCCAGGTGTGTGCGAGGAAACCAATCAATGTGTCTCTCTCACATCTATGTTTGTTTCTCTCTGTCTCTCCCCCTCGCTTCCACTCTCTCTAAAAGTCAATGGAACAATATCCTTCAGTGGGGATTAACAACAACAAAAAAGTGGCTCTCTCTCACTCATTGTGATAAGAACAATTTTTTAAGTGTTGTTGATACAGTATTGTTATTTAAAGACAATGTTGTACAGCAGATCTAGAACATATTCAACTGGCGTAACGTAAATATTATACCATTATACAGGCTGGTTAGTAACTCCCTCTTCCTCCTTGCAGCCCCGCCGCCCCCCCTCCCGCCACAAGCAACCACTATTTTATTCTTTGTTTTTATGAGTTTGACAACTTTAATTAAAAAAAAATTTAGAGAGAGAAAGGGAGAGAGGTGGGGGAGAAGAGAGAGAGATATGGATGTGAGAGAGAAACATAGATTGATTGCCTTCTGCATGTGCCACTACCTGGATCAAACCCGCAACCTGGGTATGTGCCCTGACTGGGAATCGAACCTGCCACCTTCTGGTGCATGGACAATGCTCCAACTAACTGCGCCACACTGGCCAGAGCAAGTTGGACTATTTTAGATATAAGTGGAATCATGCAGTATTTGTCCTTCTGTGACTGGCTTATTTCACTTAGCCTATTGTTCTCATGGCTAGAGATGTAACCAGGCTCTACTCTAATCACACTTTCTGCTGTATACCCTTCCCCTCCTTTTACCACTCAGGCTTCATCTCCTGCTAATTTCATAGCCACTGGACTCCTGCTCATTGTCCCTGTGCCCAACTCCAACACTCTAGATATATTCTGGCCCCAGAAACCACTTCTTTCCATCACTGCTTTCAGGTGATGCATAAGCATTGCCTTAGTGTGGACTTTTAAAGTTTCAGCATATCTTCTCCTTCTTGGTTCTTTCTAGTTAATGTTTCTGACTTATTTTCTCTCTATCACTTCCATTATTACATTTTTACTAGAGACCCGGTGCACAAAATTCGTGCATGGGTGAGGTCCCTCTGGGTGGCCTGCAGGGATCAAGCTAAAACCTGCAGTCCAACACTGCCTGCAGCTCCAACCTGCCTCTTCCACTCATCCCGGCCCCACTGTACCTGCCATGGGCTTGCGCCCAATCAGTCCCTATCAGGAGAGGCTCATGCTGCTGTTGCAGCACTCACCATCCATGAGCCCTGCATCTGGCGCCCTCCCAAGGGGAGTGGCCTGCTGGGTTGGGCTGAAACTGGCTCTCTGACATCCCTGAGGGGTCCGGGATTGCGAGAAGGCGCAAGCCAGATTGAGGGACCCCACCGGTGCACGATCGAGAGACCGCAGAAGGGCTCCAGGGCATGTATGGCCCATCTAGCTCAGTCCCAATCAGCTGGACCCCAGCAGCAAGCTAACTTACTGGTTGGAGCATCTGCCCCCTGGTGTGTGTGGGAAGCTGGGGAGGAAACAGAGAAGGGCTCCAGGATGTGTCCCACCCCTGTCGCTCAGTCCTGATCAGCCATACCCCAGCAGCAAGCTAACCTACCAGTCAAAGCATCTGCCCCCTGGTGGTCAGTGCACATCATAGTGACTGGTTGAGCAGCCTTAGCATCTCATTAGCATGTTAAGTTTGGTTGTTCTGGCATCTGGCCTATTTGCATATTACCCTTTTATTATAGGATCTCTTTATTTATTTATTTTAATTTTTTTTCTTTATTGAATAAGGTATTACATATGTGTCCTTATCTCCCCATTACCTCCCCTTCCCCCCACTCATTCCCTCACCCCCCTGGTGTCTGTGTCCATTGGTTATGTTTATATGCATGCATAGAAGTCCTTTGGTTGATCTCTCCCCTTTACCTCCTCCCTCCCCTACCTTCCCTCTGAGGTTTGAGCATCTGATCGATGCTTCTTTGTCTCTGGATCTGTTCTTGATTATTTATTGTGCTGCTCGAAATATGTGGATGTGCGAGCCCTTTCCGATTGGTGTTTGTCAATTCTTGGGACACGTTCCAAGTACTGGGGCTACTGGTTCAAATGGGAGCTACATATTTTAAATTTGTTGAGGAAACTCCATACTGTTCTCCACAGTGGATGCACCAGTCTGCATTCCCACCCTCAGTGCACGAGAGTTCCTTTTTCTCCGCATCCTTGCCAGCACTTGTTATTTTAATTATACAAGAGCAAAATCTCTATAAAAACAGGGTTTTAAAAAAGTATATATTTTTGTTTTACCAGCATCTAGAACAATGAGATATCGTAAGCATGCAGGTACACTATGTTTTTTAATCAGTGAATGAATACATGCTATTATGTGCCAGTTATTTAGTATACAGTGTTGAAAAAAATTGAATCCCGCCCTCTGCCAATAAACAAATAAAAATATGTCAAACCTGAGAGATGTTTGTTTAAAGAGTAAGCATGGAACAGGGGGTAGGGTGAGGTACTCAAGTTGGGCTTCCTGTAGGAGGTGGCATCTGAGTCTGAGGAAGTTAGCCTAATGATGGGAGGAGGAGAATTTTAGAGAAGAGCTTTTTATTTTTTCTTTATTTATTTTAATATTTTATTGATTTTTTACAGAGAGGAAGGGGGAGGGATAGAGAGAAACATTGATCAGCTGCGTCCTCCACACCTCCCACTGGGGATGTGCCCGCAACCAAGGTACATGCCCTTGACCGGAATTGAACCTGGGACCCCTCAGTCCACAGGCAAACGCTCTATCCACTGAGCCAAACCAGCCAGGGCTAGAGAAGAGCTTTTTAGATAGATAATATGAACAAAAGCAAGCTCTAGTCACCTGTCTTAGATTTAATAATGCACCCATTACTGGCTAACTTCCCCTTCCTGTATCACTTTATCTTCAACTACCCCTTTTCCTTCAAACTCTCAATAAACTGGTGGTTTTTAAATCTTGGTTCAGGGTTGGCCTCTGGAAGAACCCAAATGAAGACAGTGATTCTTACCCAAACTCTAGAGGCAAAAAAAAAAAGACAAAGTCTTTGGGAGATAATAAAGCAAACCAGATTGGCTGGATATAGGATCTGAGGTGATTAGGTTTGATAGCAAAGGAACTTGAATTCTAGGTTAAGGGATTTGGATTGTTTCCAAATTCTTTATGAAATCATTGAGTTTGGGAATAAGGTAATCAAAAGGATATCTGTGTCTGATGAATCTAGCTGTGGCATCTAATTGTATAATATTGGAAGCAAGGAGAATCTACAGGGAGGAAACAATTCCAACAGTATAGTTAGGGTCTATTCAGAAATGCATTAGTGAGGTGGCAGTGAGCATGGAAAAGAACAGTTGAAGAGAAAATGTGAAAGAAAAAAATGCAAGATTAGTTGTCAAGCTGTATGTACTGCAGGGCTGTTTGTGTTGCAGGTCCATGTATGTTAGAGAGCAGAAGTGTCATTAATATAGATGAGGAAACTGTGAGTGGGATCTGGATTTGATGAATTAAAGACATTTGCACTTTGTGCCAGTGGAATGTTCAAGTAGAGATGTTCAGTAGACAGCTGGAAATACAAGAAGGCAGGAAGGATTTTGTTTCTGAATTGGGTCTCTTTCAGATGGTGATACACGTGTTCGGCTGTTTTGAAAATCCCAAAGAAACACTTGTTTTATACAATTCTTACAGTCCTCACCTTGTGACTCTCAATAGAGAAGGGTGAATATCATGGTAACCTCCAATGCTTGTCAGACTTTGTAATAGAAGCACGCATGTACTGTGATGTGGAGAGACTGTAATTGTGCATGAGAGTATGAGGGCATGAGGGAAGGCAAAAAGCTAGGTTTAAACCATGCAAGTTCTTGAAGAAACTGGACAAAAGGAAAGCAAGAAATCAAGTTCAAGGAGTGTGACAGAGTCTGACCCATTACACAAGTTAGGAGGCTGAGATTTGCCCAAAAGACCAGCCATTTGTAGCAGAGAATTCAGACTCAGAGGA